AGAGCGAGTAATCTCATTTTCTCCGTAACAAACTTCCGCTTCTTTTTTCATCGGAATCTCACCGGTTTTTTCGCCGGATTCTCTTCCGATTTCAACTCTTCTTGAGTTTCTTCAGCTCCGATTTGCTTCTTCGCTGTTCTCCTATGCATTTTCCAGCTTCTTTCATTCAAATCGAAGCTGAATTTTGATTTCAATGGGAAAACGCAACTGCAAATCGAAGTATCGTCGTTCTCTTGGTCTCGATTCACCAGAATCCGGCACTGCAGTGTCACCTCGAAGTCGCGGCGAAGCCTCTGTTCCTCCGCCGGCTAAAATGACTTCGGGATTGGTAAATCGCGATTCAGGTAGCTCCGATCGTGTTCCAGTTCATCGATCTATCTCCGTTCCGTCTCACGGTTCTTTTGAGGTATCAGATTCACCAGATAACATTCATTCTCCGTATCATTTGCATAGTTCCGATCATCCTGGCCTTATTTTAGTCTCCGATCCTCTTGATGGTAACAACTACAGTGTTTGGTGTGTTGCTATGACTACTAGTTTGGAAGCTAAGAATAAGATAGGTTTTCTAGATGGATCTATTGCGAAGCCTGTTGAATCTGATCCGTATCACAAAATCTGGTGCCGTTGTAATAGTATGGTGAAGTCTTGGTTGATGAATAGTGTTTCTAAGAAGATCTACACGAGCATTCTCTACATTAAGCATGCTTCTGATATCTGGAAGGATCTTCATACTCGCTTTCATAAGTCAAACCTACCTCGCCTCTACAAACTTCGACATCAGCTTCAATCTCTCCATCAAGGCAGCTTGGATTTGTCTAGTTACCATACTCAAACTCAAACATTGTGGGAAGAATTATCCAACATTCAAGTTACTCCCCACACTGTTGAAGATTTACTTGCAGAAAAGGAGACAAATCGTGTGATTGACTTCTTGATGGGACTTAATGAGAGTTATGAGAACATTCGCAGCCGTATATTGATGAAGAAGATCTTACCTACTCTATCTGAGATCTACAATCTGTTGGATCAAGAAGATAGTCAGAAGATGGTTAGGCCTGTTGCTACTGATCTTACCTCTGCTGCATTTCAAGTTTCTCAATCTCAGTCTTCAGGAACTGGTGCTCCTTCTTATCCAAGAAAAGACAGGCCATACTGTACTTTCTGTGGTAAAGTAGGTCATGTCATTGACAAATGCTACAAGAAGCATGGATATCCCACTAGTTTCAAGCCAAATCAGAGGAATGAGAAATCTTCTCTTGTTGCCAGTGTTGCTCTTGAAGATTCTGCATCTGCTAATGCTTCTGACATGACTAGTGATCTCTCTCCAGCTCAGATTCAGGCATTGATGTCCTTCTTGGCCAGTAAGCTTCAGCCTCCTGATTCCACTCCCACACCAGAAGTTAATTCTGTCTCAGTGTCTTCTGTGCCTTCTTCAACTTCCTCTGGTCCAATATCCGGTACAATTTTTCCTTCTATCTCTTGTTCTTTTGCCGGTATTGCTAGACCATATGTCTGTTCTATGAGTGGTGACCTCCCTGCTTTACATGCTTGGGTCATTGACTCTGGTGCCACCAATCATATCTCCCATGATCAATCTTCTTTCCTTTCCTTTAAACCTATGAATAATACTGTCAACCTTCCTAATGGTATTTCTGTGAGCATTGTTGGGATAGGTACTATACATTTGGGTAGAAATTTGATTCTTCATGATGTCTTATACATTCCTCAATTCAAATTCAACCTTCTTAGTGTTAGTGCCTTAACCAATAGCATGGGATGTCGTGTCTGGTTTGACAAATTCTCTTGTGGAATACAGGATCATACTCGGGGATTAATGATTGGAAAGGGTAGACAGGTGGCTAATCTCTACTTCTTGGACATTGAGTCTTTATCTTGTCAAGGTACTTCTCTTTCTGTGGTTGCTGCTTCAGTCTCTAGTCCTGAATTGTGGCACACACGCTTAGGTCATCCTGCTATGTCTAAAATTCAGTCTATGCAATCTATTCTTTCTTTAGAAAAAGTAAAAATCAATGCAGATCATCATTGTAAGATCTGTCATTTATCAAAACAAAAACATCTACCATTTGTATCCAAAAACAAAATAAGTGAAAATCCTTTTGACTTGGTTCATATTGACACTTGGGGTCCTTTTTCAGTTCCCACTCATGATGGTTTTCGATATTTCTTAACCATTGTAGATGACTGTTCTAGGGCTACTTGGGTTTATCTCCTTAGGAACAAGTCTGATGTCTTACAGGTTTTTCCAGTTTTTGTCAATATGGTAGAAACTCAATTTCAGAGTAAGATTAAGGGGGTTAGATCAGACAATGCTCCAGAACTCAATTTCACTTCCTTTTATCAATCTAAAGGAATCATTCCCTATCATTCTTGCCCTGAAACTCCTCAACAAAATTCAGTTGTTGAAAGAAAACACCAACATCTTCTTAATGTTGCTAGGTCCCTCTTCTTTCAATCTCAAATTCCCCTTCCCTATTGGGGTGACTGCATCCTTACTGCAGTTCATCTTATCAATCGTACTCCTGCTCCTATTCTACAGGACAAGAGTCCCTTTGAAGTCTTAACAAAGAAAATACCTGACTATTCTGAATTAAAAGTCTTTGGTTGTCTTTGTTATGCTTCTACTTCCCCTAAGAACAGACATAAATTCGATCCCAGAGCTCGTGCTTGTGCCTTTATTGGTTATCCTAATGGCTATAAAGGTTACAAATTACTGGATATTGAATCTAACACAATTCTTGTCTCTAGACATGTTGTGTTTCACGAACAGCTCTTTCCTTTTCTTGGATCTGATATTCCTCAGGATTCTCAACATTATTTTCCTGATCAGATTCCAATACTTCCTGTGGAAAGTCAATCTTCTGACGAAGGTACTTCTCTACCTTCTTCTTCTATAGAGATTCAACATTCTGTTGATCCTATAATTGATGTTCCTGAATCTTCTATTCAAGCATCCCACAGGAATACCAAAAAGCCTGCTTACCTTCAAGATTACTACTGTCATTCAGTAGAATCTTCAACCTTTCATGAAATCTCTTCTTATCTTTCTTATGGTAAAGTTTCTCCTCTTTATCTATCCTTTTTGGTTTCCATTGACAAAGAAAGAGAACCCTCAACCTATGCTGAGGCAAAAGAACTTCTGGTTTGGTGTGGAGCCATGGATGCTGAAGTGGATGCTCTTGAAGAGACTGAAACCTGGACCATCTGTACATTGCCACCTGACAAGACTCCTATTGGATGCAAATGGGTTTTCAAGGTCAAATTCAATTCAGATGGAACTGTTGAAAGGTACAAAGCTAGATTGGTAGCTAAAGGGTATACTCAACAGGCTGGTATTGATTATAATGAGACTTTCTCTCCAGTGGTTAAATTGACTTCAGTGAAACTGGTGCTTGCTTTGTCTGCTATTTACAATTTCTCTCTTACACAATTGGATATCTCCAATGCTTTTCTCAATGGTGACCTAGATGAGGAAATATACATGCATCTTCCTCCTGGTTATGCTGCTAGAAAAGGCAATTCTCTCCCTCCTAATGCCGTGTGTAAGCTTCAGAAATCCTTATATGGTCTCAAGCAAGCATCGCGACAGTGGTTTCTCAAATTTTCCACTACACTTATCTCTCTTGGTTTCACTCAGTCCTATGCTGATCATACTTGCTTTCTCAAGATTAATGCTACTCTGTTCTTATGTGTATTAGTCTATGTTGATGACATCATCATTGCAAGCAACAATGATTCAGAAGTTGATCTCTTAAAGTCTCAGTTACAATCTTTCTTTAAACTGCGGGATCTTGGTCCATTGAAGTATTTTCTTGGCTTGGAGATTGCCAGATCTTCTGAGGGAATTCATATTTGTCAGCGTAAGTATGCTCTTGATTTACTTGATGAAACTGGTCTACTTGGCTGCAAACCCTCTAGTATTCCTATGGATCCGCATATTAAGTTTTCTAAGGACCGTGGAGGTGATCTTGTTGATGCTGAATCATATAGACGTCTTATTGGGAGGTTGATGTATCTGCAAATTACTAGACCTGATATAGCTTTTGCTGTCAATAAGCTAAGTCAGTTTTCTCAAGCTCCTCGCAAATCACATCAACATGCTCTTTACAAGATCCTTCACTATGTCAAAGGTACAATTGGCCAAGGTCTGTTCTACTCTTCCAAGGCAGAACTTCAATTTCAGATGTTTGCTGATGCTGATTATGATTCTTGTCAAGATACTCGGCGCTCAACTTCTGGTTTCTGTCTATTCCTTGGTACTTCTCTTATATCTTGGAAATCTAAAAAGCAACAGGTTGTTTCCAAGAGTTCTGCAGAGGCTGAGTACCGTAGCTTGTCTAGTTCTACTGATGAACTTGTCTGGATCACTAATTTCTTGCAGGAGCTTCAGATTCCTCTATCCAAACCTACTATGCTTTTCTGTGATAATACTGCAGCCATTCATATTGCCACCAATGCAGTGTTTCATGAGCGCACCAAGCACATAGAAAAAGATTGTCACAGTATTCGTGAGCGTTTGGTAGCAGGTTTGTTTCAGTTGTTTCATGTCAGAACAGAACTGCAGCTTGCTGATCCATTTACTAAACCTCTATACCCTAACCAATTCCATCAGTTATTTAGCAAGATGGGTCTTCTCAATATTTTCGTCCCATCTTGAAGGGGCATATTAGTGTATATAGAGTGTTTAGAGAGTCTTTGTTGTAAATAGAGTCTTTAGTGAGTTTGTTAATTGTATATAAACCTCACTTTGTGTAAACTTTATGAATTAATGAGAAAGAGATTATTTGGTAATAGAAATATATGCAGATCCTTTGTGATTGGTATTTTCATAAACTTGTCTATTTCTTGGGGCCACCTCGTGGACTAATACATGTTCCTCCAAACGCGCCACACATGGGGTTATCCGGAGGCTGCTTTTCTTTATGGATGACAATGCTTTTGCTGTAAGTTCCATAATTTTTGTTTGTTAATTAATTCTCTTCCTTTATGCACCCTACCACAATGGAATTGTTGAGTAACTAGTTGTCTTTATTCCCTACAGGCCCTTGCCATCAGCGTATATGTGCCTTTCCTCTTTGTTCTTCTGCCATTCAGTTGGATGGATTGTTTTAGAAACTGTTGGAGGCACCTATCTATCTGGAAACTCGCCTGTTATTCTTGGATACACGATGATTCTGTCATTTTCATTTGCTTACCTTGGAATCCTCTTCACTCTTGGTCATTACTCATTTCCAGCCATAGTCCGGTGGTTTACGTTTGGAGTTCACTTCCTAACAGTGAAATTGCCGTGTCTCTTGTGGGTTTTCTCAGTAGAAGCCTGCAAAAACATATCTGTCATTGAGGATGCCTTCGTCTCGTGCTTTAAAATTGATGTTCTGCCCCGGATAACTGGATGTTGGCTCGAATTCTGCACCTCCCGGTGGATCGGATTTCACTTCATAACAGTGAAATTGCCATGTCTCTTGTGGGGTTTCTCAGTAAAAGCCTGCAAAAAACTATCTTTCATTGAGCATGCCTTTGTCTTGTGCCTTAAAATTGGTGTTCTGCCTTGGATAATTGGATGGTGGCTAGTAATCTGCACTTCCCCTTTGTTTGAAACCACAAATTCCCAGAGATTTGAGATTCTTTCACACTTCCCAGGCATGATGATCTTACGTTGGTGTTTAGGATTCTGTTGCTTGATAATTGCCGACTCTTATAGGGAACTTATCCAGGAGGTAATAGTTTAAGTTTCTGTTTCACCCCAACGAAATCTTATTCTTTTATCAGAATTTTCCTCACTTTCTCCTTCTTTGACAGATCATTCATAAACGAGCTTTTTGGTATCTCCTAGATGTCACAGATCCAGACTACAAGATCACCAAACTAAATTTTGGTTACAGCCTCTTTGTGATTGCTTTTCATGGGGTATTGTTGGTGATTTTGACTCACTTACCAATTAAAGCCATTACAAGTATCAGCCCATCCTTTTTTCCTCTTGATTTATGGTAAGCTTAGTGTGTTTGCTTCCCTCTGAACCGTACCTTATATCGTTTCTAATTTCTTGTATCTTGACCAAAACGCAGGGTTAACCATGAAAAGCCTTTTCTTGGTGCATACTCGATTTATTTCAACCTACTGAGATACGGTCCGCAATGGTTACTCAAACATACTATACCAGCTATGAGACTCATTGTTCACAACTGGATTATCACTGTTAGTGCTTGGCTTCAGCTGAGTGATTTCATGCTGGTAATTCTGCGAGGAGAAGACTTTCACCGTACTGATCAGAATGTGAGACCAATGATGCAACCAAGAAGGCCGTATGATGATAATCTAATGTTTCTATTGTATTCCATAGCTGAAGGCTCAGTGGTCACTATGCATGAATATCAGAATGCTGAAGACGATAATCAAGACCAAAGAGATAACAGGTAGTTAACTGATATAGATACAACATTTTAAGAAAATCATAGAACTGTTGTGATAAGTTGCAATTTCAGGTTTCTGCCGAGGATTGGCTTGATGTTGGTGTTAGCTGCTTTGAGTTTGTTCCTCATGAGTACAGCCTTCATGGCTTTGCCAATTTTGGCGGGAAGAGTATTCTCTGACTCTCTCTCTTTCATCATGCTAAGATTGGAATCAAACATGACGGTTAGTTGTAGTTTCTTCATATCTTGCTTTGTATGTCCTTTTTCTTCTATACACTTCTTTCGTTTTAAGCCTGTGTTTGCAAATCTTGTGATTGTAGATCTTTTTGCTTTCTGGATTGGATGTTATATCCTGCGAGCAATCTATGACAGCACTTGCTTTGCATTTGATCATACCCGGAGGGGAAGAACCGATTTACTTCTCAAATATATCTGGATACGTATACGAATTGGCTTGTTTTTCTCCATCTGGGTAAGAAACCTTCCATTTCCACCAAAAACTCTTGGGAAATATGACTTTTAAAACCTTTTGCAATCTCTGATTAACAGATCTCTGTCATCCCCGGATTTCTTGGTCTACTCATCGACCTTATGATCATCATACCATCACGAGTGCCACTAAATGAATCACCAGTTTATTTCTTGATCCAAGATTGGTTAATTGGAGTAGTGCTGCTTCACATATGGACCTTTCTGGTAAGAGAATCATGAAATAGTGATTTCAACAAGGACTGAGTTATTTTTTGCAGCTAACGTATTTGCTTAGCTTCTTCACCGCATCTAGGCTTCACAGAAGATGACATATGTGTCATAAAGTCCCAACCTATCCAGCTACAAGCACATAAGATAGAAGAGCAGCGAGTGGACATGGCTAGCTTCTTCACCGCATCTTGGTTGGCTAATTTTATTGGTTGCGGTTTGGAGTGGATCAGAAAGGCTCCACTTACGGCAACGATCCAGCATGGATCATTTTCAAGACCCTCTGTTTCCTCTGTTCTAGCGGCAGAAGTACTTGCTTCGAAGGTGGCGATCAGCGCAGCCTTAGCATTGGGTGTTTCAAGACTGGCTTGTTACTCGGATTGTCAAGATCTCATTCTTCTTCTCAATGCCGGTGGCCTAGCAAACAAGCTCGAAGGTATCTTAGCGGATTTCAGTGAGCTTAGTTCTAAGTTTATCTCGATTTCCTTTTATTTTGTACCTCGATTCGAGAACACTGAGGCTGATTCTCTGGCAAAGACTAGCCTTACATCTTGTATCATCTCCTCTAGCGATAGAGTTTGAGTTATCTTTATAAAAGTTGGTTCACAAAAAAAACGTATTTGCTTTTTCTCATAGACAATGCTCACACCTATCAACTGGCTTGCGACTAAGGCATGGCGGCTAAAGTTTGAGAGAATAAGAAACGTGGGAATCAATAGACTTCCTTCAATGTGGCTGCTTGGAGATGTGATTGGTTCCATCATAAACACACTTGTAACCACACTCTCCATCCCTTACCTGCTTGCAAAGGCTCTATTCCCGTTGCTTGGATTCTCCCAAAGCATCAATTTAGCTGTTGAACGGTGTATTTGGCCGGCGTTATTAGCTATGATCACAGTCTGGTTTATGGCCAAGCTAACACGTGATCTCATTATCTACCTTCACCAGTTGGTCTTCAATGAAAGGTATCTGGTGGGTGAAAGAGTGGACAATTTGACTGAAGATCCAGAGCAGGGGATAATCATCCATGGAACATGACCAACAAGGACTTTTTTGTTCATAGTCAAGTCAATATGTTAATATCTTTTGCAATGTTTAGTTTCTGAATTTGACAGTAATTTGAGGTAACCAAATTGAGAGTAGACATGTATAGTGTGCCTTACACTCTTATTTTTTGACCGAAATATTGGAATCATAGTGACATCTTTAACACTTATCTGTTTAGCAGATTTCATGCTTTCGATTTCGTTTAGTTTGAAACAATATGAACCAGTCGGTTCAAAATTTTGGTTTAACACTTTAACTCGGTTAAACAAACGCAATTACGCAAATATACATCGAGTGTTGATGATGATTTGGTGTTCATGTTCTTGGCGTGTAGCTTCAACGTGGATGCTCGTTTTACTAGATTAATCTTAATCAGCTTGGATTTACCCTTTAAAGTTGCCAAAAATTACCACCCGTACCTTCAACATGGATACCAATGTCTTCAGAAAATGTCATAATTGTTCCGAGCCAACGAGCTGAATCTGAAAGCTTCTAGAATGTTCATCAGGAATACCAACCAAAGTTACTGAAGAATCTTCAATTAAACCACAAGGAAGCTCAAGTAGTACATGCCTTAAACCAGACAAATCTCCATCAAATGCAGTGACAAAATCCGGACAGTTCCTTCCAAGTTCGTTAGAGACCATAGCAGAAGAAGAAGCTCCTTTCTCTTTATTGATCAGAAAAACCAAATCTTTCATGGCCAATGTAGCTTCTTCAATCCCTTGAGCAGTTTCTGGCAAAGCATTTTTTTTATAAAAGGTTCTATTTGTTTTACTGAAGTCAATATGACCTAATTAAAAATCTGATCTCTTCATAAATGTTGTAAATAATTAAATTATCTATATATACATTTTTGCAACATTTTATGAAATAAATCCTCAAATTGCAACTTATTTACAAAGAATGCCATTGGCATTAATTATTATCAATTAATTAAGATTCTTAATTACTAGCATTTCTTTATCTAATATATTTCCATCAATTCTAACTACTTAAGAAAAGGAGAAATTTTAGGACATTGTTAATATTATACTTTATTGAAAGATAAATATTATAGTTATTTAAAGTTTATTAAACGTTTAAAATATTTAACGGAAAAAATGTTTAGAATATATATAATATGTGAAATCTATAAAAATTAAATAATCATTTGAAATAAAACTTTAAATTGATTTGAATTATAAATGTTTTAATAAAATTATTATTCAAACAAAAACTAATGTTTAATTTCACCGAACAGGATTAGATGGTATGACGGATTTATAATATTATAATATATGAAATTTACAACAATTAAATAACTATTTGAAAGAAAACTTTTAAATTGATATGAATTATATATCTTTTAAATCAAAGTATTATTAAAACAAAAATAAGAAAATAATGTTTAATTTCACTGAACGGGGTTAGATGGTATGACGGGTTTAGGTCGATAGTAATACGAGACGGTATACCACGGGTGAAATCCATTAGATATGTTTAATTTCACTGAACAGTATTAGATGGTAGGACAGGTTTGGGTCGATAGTAATACGAGACTGTATACTACGGGTGAAATCCTAGATATAACAATCAAAATAAAATTATACTATCTTAAACACTAAACAAAACAAACAATTTTAACAAAATAAATATAATTTAAATTTAAATTATATAGTTATAATCTAGATTTTAACTTAATGAACTGTATGTTATTGTTTCTATATTTTTAAACAGTAAAAATTAAACATAGTAATTGTACACTAAAAATATATAGATATAAGAATTGTACATTTAAAAAATACAAAACATTAAATCATATATATTTTTAATCTACTAATCAAATTAAATTTTTATTTTTTAAAAAAAATATAGTTAAAAAAAATTATAGTCCCGCGGTGTACCGCGGGTTATAATCTAGTTATCTGTATAAATCAAACTTGTTGAATTAATGTGAACACAATGATGAGCTTTATAACGAAAAAAATAAGGAAAGAAAACAAAATGATTCTGGTGGATATGCGACACTTATAAATAACTAGATTTATCTCACGGAACACAATTTTTTATTATTATTAGAAGACATTAAACTAATATAAATATCTAAATACAATACACTCGTAAATCATTACAACTAAATAAAATGTTATTTTGAGGTTTTGTTTGTAAACATAAAAGAAATATAATAATTGTGATTTTATTGTGTAAAGTCCATTCTAAACCCCAAATATTGATATTTAAACAAATAAATATCTATATATATATATTATCTTTTTGCTTAAGAACAATATTTAAATATCAACCTTAATTTTTAAGATAATGTGACCTTAGTATAAATTCTAGTTTAAAATGAAAAAATTAAGTTAAGAATTTACTTTCAGATTAACCAAAACTACAAATGTAAGCAAAACATGTTAAAAAAATAAAGAACATACGATTAGGCACATATCAGAAGAAGTTTTCTATCTCCAACTTTGTACGGCCCACTCGGCCACTTCTTCTTCTTTCTTGTAGTCTTCTACCTCTTTTCATTTTCAATGCTATACTTGTATCCATAGCATTTAGTATGAAAGTAAACAAAAACAAAAGCAAGTTATGTTGATTCGAAAATAAACAGAAATGACGATACTAAAATTCTATGAACATAGAAAAATGGAAGACCAACCTGAGCATCGGTGTCAATCTAGACATGGCCTTTTAGTTTTCTCCATGGCCCTAGCTACTTTCTACTTGTGGTGCTTATTAAGCTTCTTCAACACACTTGTGCTGCAATGTGATCACCACCACAAGAACTAAACATATTCCATGAAATTGAGAATTCATTTTGTTCATAAAGAAAGAGGAGTCCATTTTTAAAATGATCGACGTACTCTCATTTTTTTTCCTTCTTTTCATCACATTTAGCCTTTTTATTAATCCAGAAGAGCAAAAAAAAAGCTAAGTAGAGTATGAAAATGGTTTAAGAAAAAGGAAATCGACATGACTCTGATTTGAAAGCATCTGAGCGTTATTAATCACACTAACCTAAACGTTCATCTTCCCAAGTTTGCTTTACGTTCTTCTTTGCATTCTTCTCTTTCTCATTTCATATAAAGGAATTTCTCCCCAAGAAAGTTATAGACTTCAAGATTTAAATTACATCACGTATTTGAGAGAGTGGGCAGATTAGTTGCAGAGGTGAGATAATTAATGAACAGTTTCAAGATCGTGATATTGTGTGAGAAATTTTAGGGATATCTCTATAATAGTTTTTTTTTAAGTAGAACTGAATTTGCGGTTTTTTTTTTTTGACGGCACTGAATTCGCGATTAAGGCTACGGCTATTTTATAGTTAATAAGGATACGGTTAGTTTATAGTTAATACGGATACGGTCATATACAAATGAAATAATACGGAAGGAAAACAAACAAATCTATCTGGAGATTCATGAGTGTACCACGATGATGATTGATTTTTGATGCATCTTAATTATCGTCTAATTTTGTCATCATTTTTTTTTCTTTTGTCAAATATATTTATGTCATCTTTGTGGCCTAAAATTTCTTTCCATAAAATCTAAACAAAAATGTAGAAATTTGATCAACAAAATTATAATTAGAGCCAATAGTAGCCAATATACATGAGCATATAAGAGCATCTACATCACAAAAACATTAGTGACTGTCTTCCCCTAATAAAAAATATAAAGTTGAAAAAAATTATTATTATAATTATGGATGTCTTTAAAACTAAAGACATCACATTTTGAGAAGAATATCTTAAGTTTTAAAGATACACTAATTATAATATTAATTTTTAGCTTTATATTTATTTTATTAGGGGAAGACACCCAATAATAGTTGTATGATAGAGATGGTCTAATAAACATACATGGAAATGGATAATGACGTGAGGTTGTACACATCGAGCTCATATTGTTCTTAAAGTTGAAAGAAATGCAGAGAAATGATCTCTTGTTTAAGCTTAGAGACTGTAGCTTTCCATATCTCAGATATTTTTTTTGGTAGGCGAGGGATGTCCCCTACAATTTATTAATTAACTTAAAAGAATTACAAACGAACATTGCGTGAGAAACCTGTCCCATTAGCATCCTCTAACATAGTCAAATAAATCATATCAGGGCAATAATCAAAAAAATGAATCCTAACTGTAACGAAAACGCATAGTTTGCTAATCCATCGGCTAGACGATTAACTTCCCTATACACATGAGTAACCCGGATTAACCAGTCCCTTGATAAAAAGCCTTAGCACAGGCGTACCAGGAAGGCAAGCGGATGAACCTCACTTATCCCTGCTTGCAGAAATCCAACCACCAACTCCGAATCCAACTCTAACTCCACTCGTCGAAACCCTTTCTCCCAGGCAATCACCAACCCGTAGTACGCACCCCAAAGCTCCGCCAATGGTGCAGTACAAATACCTATATTAAGTGCGAATCCTCCTAGCCATAAACTTTTCTCATCCCGAATTATCCCTCCAGCAGTGGCCAGCCCTGGGTTACCTCGAGAAGCCCCATCGGTAGTGAGTTTTACCCACCCTGCACTCGGCTTCCTCCAACACGCTGCTCAATACGCTCATTCATTTGTGCTCCACACCTAACCACAACATGAGCTCGCCGGACCTCATCTGCCATATCTTTCACAAACCTCACTCGGTCCCGACAAGTTCTTCTCTCCCCAAAAACATCACTACATCTCCACTTCCATCCCCACCATACCGCCATACTAAACAACGTTGGCCACTCCTCACTACTAGTGTCACATCCAGCCCCTAAGTTCTTAAACAACCACTCCAACAGGGACTTAGCAAAAAATACCTGTTGTCGTCTTCGAGGCACCAGTCTCCTCCAAATTCCTACCATCGCCGGACAGTCCCGCAGCACATGTATAATTGATTCCTCGCCACCATTACACACCTGACAGATTCCACTCTCACTCAGATGTCGTCTAACCCGTTATGCATTCGTCATTATAACTTGGTGACTAACCAACCAGAGAAACACACGCACCCGTTCTGGAGCCACTACACGCCAAATCCGCTGATAAAAACTCGCCATACATGGTCGGGATTCGTCATCAAATGTCAGCAAGGAGTAGGCCAACCGTACCGAGAACTCCCCATTCGGATTACCCTGCCAAGACAATTTATCACACATACCCGACACACCTTTCACCACAACCGCCAGCAGCCTTTGTATTATATTAACCGGAAGATATTGACTCAGCCAAGTCATATCCCAGCCCATATCCTCCGACCAATAGCTCTCTATGTGTCTATCAATCTCATCGTGCGGTACCGACGTTGTCACCCTCATCAACAACGGTTCATCAATTAACCATCTATCCCTCCAGAATTGAATAGATTTCCCATCACCAAGTACGCAACCTATCCCTGGCAACACAACCTCTCTCATCCCCACTCCCACACTCCGCCATGTTGAAGACCAAGTACCTTTGGGTACCATCCAAGAATAGTCATGAACATCTCCCACCTTATACTTACTACTCAACACTCTTGCCCAAAGACTCTTTTTATCATGCAATAAACGCCATCCCACTTCTGCCTTAGGCTTACACACCTTCTTCCACGACAACAAGTGTTGTTTCTTTTTTTCCTAAAGTACTTCCCCAAAGAAAAGCCCGTGATACCTTATCCAAACTCTCCAATGTTGATGCTGGAAGTAAAATAGCACTCATTGAATGGACTGGTATCGATGACAGAACAACTTTTGTAAGCGTTAACTTCCCTGCCAGACTCAGAGATCTACTCTTCCAACCTGCCAACCGAGAAGACACCCTCTC